ACACACACACACACACACACACACACACACCTTATAATGGATAAATAAATTTAAAAAATAGCTTACAGTAGACATATTTATATCGCAGCCTTGAAGGATACGAACATCAGTTCCAACCTTGAGTCTCCTGCATGTCTGCCTACTTGGCCATTTACTTATCTTTTATTAGACTGTGCTTCCCTGGTGGCATTGCACTATTTTATACTCCGTTTATCAGAAATGGCTCGTGTGATGATGGGTTTAACTTTAATGGATTTTCAGTCTTCTGCATATTTCAAACAATCTTATCACATTATGATAGAGGTCTTAGTTTGAAAGACAAACATCTGATAGGGTGACGCTTTGATGACAATCAAAATTTTACAATGCACATGGGTTTTTTGTAAGTACTTTGCAATATTACTAGACATTTTTAAATCTGACTGATTGCAGTTTGTTAGCAATATTTAATTCACAGGAAATTTCTAAAAGTATTCAGAATTCAAAGGAGGAAAGTTCATTTTAAATGTAATCATTATTCCATGGTGCAAAATTCTTACCTCATTGCCATGTTTCTGTAGGAACTCGATTTCCTGTTGCAAAAAGGTTGTCATAGAGATGGACTTGACTCTGTGGGGCGGATTCAGTCCTCGACTGTGGTCAAAGAAAAAAAAAAGGGGGGGGGGGGTCAATTTAATTTTAGGAAACAACAAACGAGAACCTTATCTGAATAAACTCTAGAGTGCACCTCTCTGGACAAAGCTGTTTAATTAGCTGAAAGCTGAGTGGTTGACGGTTTGCACAACTGAAAGCAGGGAGACAGTATTACAGAGTCAAATCTCAAAAGACAAAACGTGACAGAAAAATGACAGGGAAACAAAAAAGCAGCACAAAGGAAATGGTGAAATATTGTCTAAAGTTAAACTAACTGAGCTGAGGGCAGGAAGCACGATAAATAATTGAGTAATCTTCCTTTTTCTAGACGCATTAACACTCGTTATCCCACACAAACTTAGCTAATTATAATCAGAAATAYTCCAATACACAAATGCCATGAATCTTCTTAGACTCATCTTGAGTATTTTTAAACTCCAGAGATATTTGTTCCTGGAGGTAAAAACTAATTCAGATCTGGCTGCAGAGTACCACCTGCTTTACAGCAAGGCTTTGAAAATAAAAGCAACTTTTAATGTGCAAGCAGATTATAGTATTCGGACATCAAAATGTCTACACCACACACAAAACAAAAGAAATATGTCAGCAGCAAAGAAAATTGCTGCCTTAAAGACTTTTTGTAAACTGCAATCTTTTGTTTGTTTGCTATTTGCTAAATAGYCTACGCTGTTTGTGCACAAGGTGTGGATAAATTAAATGAGAATTATTAGCATAAACTAAGTGGTAAACCAAAATACACCAGTTTTCTGTGGCAGAGAATGACCCACATTAACTCTAAGGTAGCCCACTTATTGACACACAAATRATGCAGATACTTAGTCTCTGCCAAACTCTCTCTAAGGATTCAAATGATGTTTAAAAGCTACAAATTGTGTAAATGTCATTGAACAGAACTTTAAACAAAACTTTGTATGTCTTCCTGTATTTGTAAAATGAGTGGGGCATTGTTCACCTTCTATGTCCTTCAGTATGTAAWTATTTTTTAAAAAAGGGGACAAAACACTAATTTTAACTAAACTACTTTTGCCATTTTATATGTAGGCAGCAGCAAGCTTGTTTCACAACACACATTGTCTTGAAAGAATAGGAAAAGCACAGGAAGTAGGGAAAGGTGCATAAATGGAAAGCACATTTCACTTCTGCAGCTGTTCATGCTGGTTGCTTTGTTTAAAAAAAAGCTTACAAGCAGAACTTCCTTTAACTGTAATGCAGCCTTCAAACACAACTGAGCTTTTCCTACGATTTCAATGTCAAATATTTTGCTGTGAAGTCAAAAAATGTGGAGCCTGAAAAGCAGTTTAAATCTCATCTAGGGGTCTTTCTGTGTGAAGTTTGCATGTTCTCCCTGTGAATGCGTAGGTTTGCTCTGGCTTCTTTTGTTTCCTCCCACAGTCCAAAAACATGCATTCTAAAAAAAAAAAAAAAACAATTGCCAATTCTGCATTGATTTCAGTAGTGAATGTGAATATGCATGGTTGTGCGTCTCTGTATAACTCTGTGATAAACTGGCACTCTGAACAGGTTGAGTTGATACAGAAAATAAAAAGGTGTGAGTTAGTAATTAAATTACACTTACTGTAAAACTTATTTGTTTGTAATTGCAGTTGGGGTGGGAGACAAAGTTCTTGGAAATAAGATCTAAAGATTCCTCAATTACAAAAACATTGTTTTACACAATGTGACGTCAGATCCTCCTATAGTGAAATATGAGACCAGACTGTTAAAATATTAACTGGTGTTACATTTCACAGAACTTTTCATCCTAACTCATTCTCCATGCATCTAATCAACTATTGCTCAAGTCTTTACAACAAGAATAACAATTAGCTTCGTATTATTCCTCACATGCAGTAGAGGACGGACACACTCAGTGAGATCTGGCAATTAACTCTCAATGCCAAACGATGGATTTCAATCCCCAAACCACCAATATTTCAGGAAAAAAAATAAAAAATAAGAAAAATCAGCATTTTCTATTTTAAAGAGGAATCAAATTGATGACATTTACTAGATATATATACAGTGGTTTGCAAAAGTATTCATACCCCTTGAACTTTTCCATATTTTGTCACATTACAACCACAAACATAAATATATTTCACTGGAATTTAATGTGAAAGACCAACACAAAGTGGTATACAATTGAAGAAATTTATAGTTAGTACTGATTAAATACAACACAGAGTTAGGGTTTTCTACTTTATAATACTTTTATAATG